ATTCGAGCCACCCCCACCACACACACATACACACACTCCACACACACTCTCTCTCCAACACCCCACACCCTTCTCGCATACCCCCCCCCCCCCCTCCCCCCCTTCCCCCCTTCCCCCCTCTCCCTCCCTTCTCCCCTCCTACACTAGCCATGCCGCGACCTGGCTCCCGGAGGCGACGTGCGCCTAAGCGACTCGAGCCACCTACCCTTGACGAAGAGCGGCAGATGCGACTTGCCTTTGCTCTGTCTATGGGGAAGGAAGCAAGTGGACGGACGACTGCCCTTGCTACTGCTGCTGCTGGTGCTGCTGGTGCTGGTGCTGCTGCTGGTGCTACTGCTGCTGCTGGTGCTGCTGCTGCTGCTGGTGCTGCTGGTGCTGCTGGTGCTGCTGGTGCTGCTGGTGCTGCTGGTGCTGCTGGTGACACTCGTTCGACTTCATCGGCTGCCACGGCTGCTGCCCCTCGTTCGCCTGCTGCTGATCATGATGATGATGATGGCAAGTCGCCCAAGTCATCCATTCCGTCGGCAGACGACAGAAAGGCCACCAAGGCATCATCGTCTGGTGGAGTTGATGATGTGAGTCTGGTTGATGATGACAATGACGTGGAAGAGATGCCAAAGGCTTCGAGCTCGTCGGAAGGACCTTCGCAAGAGTCCTCCGAGGACATCAGCAACAAGGTTGAGGACATGGTCGTCGCTAATGACAAGTCGCGGAAGCGCAAGCGCTCGGCGTCGCGGAAGAAGGCAGGCTCGGCAAGCTCGTCGGTGGCCGTCGCCGCATCCGCGCCAACAGACTCGGCTGGAGCTGCCGCCGCGAGCGTGCTGCTGATCATGGACGAAGCTGGAAACGCCAGCGGGGGCGAGGAGCTGCCGACCCCCAAGCGGCAGAAGAGCACAGCGGCGGCGAGCGGCGGTCAGAGCTCGGCGAGCAAGCCCAAGAAGCGCCGCGGGCGGCCAAAGGGCTCGACCAACGAGCGCAAGCTGCGTATGCTGCGCCGCCGTGCCGAAAACACCGGCGCGGGCGACACCGACATGGCTGACGAGTCGGACCAGGAGCTGGAAGACGGCGTGTATGTGGTCGAGGACATCCTCCGCAAGCGCCTCCGCAAGGGCCGCCGCGAGTACCTCATCAAGTGGAAGGACTTTCCTGTCGCCCAGGCCACCTGGGAGAGCGAGGACAACATCCTCGACTCGTCACTCATCCACAAGTTCCTGCAGAATGAGAAGCTCAAGAAGCAGAAGCGCAAGGAGGCGTCCAGGGCAAAGGCCGCAAAGGCCGTCGAGCGCTACCGCACCACCGGCAAGCTCCCGCTCTCCGACAAGTCGACCAAGAAGGTGAAAAAGTCCGAGGTCTCGCCCACGGACCCGGCAAGCATCACCGCTCACCTCGCCGCAGCCGCTTTCAAGGACCGCCCAGACTCGGAAGAGATCATGAGCCTCATTTCTAAGATCCGCGCCGCTGTCATGTCCTCCTGTTAAAGGGCTATACCTCCCTCCCATCCACGTTCCTCCTGTCTTCTCTTCTTTACCCATTCACCGGCAACTGGCCCTTCTTCTGATACAGCTTGGACTTGGCCCGCGACGGCAGCTGCGGCGGCGCAGCCTTCTTCTTCTTCTTGCCTTTGCTCTTGGGCTTGGACTGCACTTCAGGCCGGCCAGCCTCTGCGCTCGTGCTCATTGCACTCGGCACGCCGGCCTCGCTTGCTGCAACCCGCTCCATGTAGTTGCCCGGCACGTAGCCTTCCTTCTCCAGCCGCTTGGAGTAGACCCACCACCAATCGCCCTTGTCGTTGAGGACTTCAAACTGGTCGCCAACCTCCACCTCGAGCCGGGCAACCTCATTGTCCGAGTACGCGTACAGGGCCGTGGCAAGGTACAGCACTTTGCGCACAGCAAGCGTCGAGCCCGCAACCGGTGGTGGCGGCGCAGCCGCCCGCGCCTCACTCTCGCCATCGCTCGCAGCTCCAGGCAGCGTCGCTGGCTTGGGCGCCATCGGCGGCGCAGGCAGGTCGCGCTTGCCCGACACCGACAGCGCCGTCCGGCCACAGCCTTGTGGCCCTCGCCGGGCGTCGGCAGCCGCCGCCGCCCCGCTGCCATCGTCGATCGCCGCTCGCCGCCCTCGCCACCACCAATCCCGCGCTGCTGCGTATCCGACTCGGCCCGCGTCCGCGACTTCAGCCGCGCCGCGTCGGGCATCCACGGCAGCGGTCCTGTCCCGGATCGCCGCCGCGGCCCGGAAAACGCTCGCTCGCGCATCTTAGGCACGCCGTCCTCGCCCTCACCCTGGCTCTCGCCCTTGTCGCCGCTTCCACTCGTGGCAGGGCCGACCTTGCGCGGAGGGATCTCTGGCGGGTAGACCGGCTCGAGGAGGTTGACCACCGCCGCCGGAAAATAACCACATTCCCCGTGCGACTCGCCGTAGAGCCAGTCGTCCGCGGCAGTGGTCATGACAAAGTACACAAAGTCGCCGGTCTCCAGCTCCAGCAGCTTGCTTGCCGCTTCCTCCGGCAGGGCCTTGCCCCACCCCTGCTCGTTCAGCCGAAACGGCTTGGTCACCACCCCGCGGGTGGGCAAGGCCAACACCTCGTTGCTCTCGGCCTCTAGCTCCACGTACTTGGCCGGAAAAATCCCCACACTCGGCACCTTGCCCGCAACAGTTCCAATGTACCTGTAGCCACACTCTCACGTCAGTAACTTTCTCCATTCCTTCTGCGTACCCCCCCCCCCTCCCCCGCCACCCACTCGTGATCAAACCGGTCATGATCTCGCGGGAATTGATCACCACGTTGCGGGACGGGACGGGGCAGGGGCTACCCGCCCCCACCGTAACAGGTAAACACATGCAAGAAGCACAAGTCTGTGCTATGCATTGTCCACCCTAACATATCCAAAACTCACGCCATTTCCCTTCTTCCCTCGCACCAAGGAGCGGTACATAGTTGCCCCCCCCCCCCGCCTCCCCTCCGCGCAATCGCCGAGCGGCGGAGAAAGGCCGTAAACATGCGCATGCGTCGCCAGCTAGCTACGCTCGGCTCAGCAACCCGCTCCCAACCCTCTCCCCTCCATACACACACATAAACACACACACACACACACACATGCTGAAGACACACATGCTGAAGACACACATGCTGAAGACACACATAGTCTTGCCCTTACTCCCCCCCACCCCCAACCCCCTTCCCTCCCTCTCCTTCCCCCCTCCCCGCCACCCTCCCCAACCCCCCCCCCCCAACCCCCCCACAACCCACACCGCCATGCGTACCATTCAGGGTGGTCTGTGAGGAAGATACACTCTATGCGGTCGCCTGCAACAAATGTTGCGTCGCCATACTCTCGCCCCTCAAAGTCCCACTTGGCTATGCCGGACATGCTTGGGCGAGCTTGTCTTGCAGAGAGCCGTGTGACCGTGTGACGTTCAGTGCCAGTGGTAGCCGTTTTGCCATTCATTCAGCTGCAAAAAGGGGCGCACCAAAAAGTGCCCTCTAATAGCGCCGCTTCCTCCCCTCACCCCAGCTCACCCGCACTGCCGCCTTTGCCAACCCTCGCAGCGAGCCATCGCACACTGTCACCATCATCCATCGCGGTCATCTGCTGTCATCTATGCATGTCATTCATCTAACTATAACTGTCAGCTCCGTTCTCGCCCACCACATCGCTCCACGGCAAGAGGTCAGAGGCGTCGGCAGCACAGCGGACAGCCTCAACATCGGCCGGAAAGTCCTGCCAGAGCTGAGCTTGCGGGACCACAAGCGAGCCGCCGTTGTTGCCGATGGCGTGGACGGGTGCTTCGCGGGCGACAATGAGGTGGTCGGCGGTGAGCCAGGCCGAGCTCGCCGTCACCATCGATCCGGCCTGAACCAGCGCGGTGTTCTCGCGCATCCGCGCCAGCAGCGGATGCTCGCTGCCGAGCGCCCGTTCTGCCGCCGCCTGCGCGCCCTCCAGTAGCCGCCGCGCCGTTGCCATCTGCCCGCGTGACGCGTGGAGACCGGCCAGGAGCTCCAGGTTAGCCACCAGCGACGGGTGCGCAGGCGAGAGCACCTTGGTCTTGATTCGCAACGACTGGTAGAGCATCGACTCAGCGAGTGTGTAGTTGCCGGTCCGGACGTAGACTCCTGCCAAGTTGGTCAGCACCACCGCAAGGTCGATGTGCTCAGGCCCGCGCACCCGCTCGCAAATGAACAATGCCCGCCGCAGCAGCGCCTCGGCTTCGTCAAACTCGCTCGCCTCCAGCCGCACAAACGCCAGATTGTTCAGCACCCGTGCCCGCGCGCCCAGATGCGCTCCATCGGACGCCTCCTTGGACGCGGCAAGCGCTCGCTCAAACACCGCTACCGCGCGGCCCACTTCGCCGGCCTGCAGCTGGCACCACCCGAGATTGTTGAGCGCATCAACCATCCGCGGCGACGACGCCCCGTGCGCAAGCTCTGCTGTCTGCGCGTCAAACGCAAACAGCGCGCCCGCAAGCGACACGCTCTCGGCAGAGCTGCCTACCCCGCACACCACATGCCCCAGCGCCGCCATCATTCCCGACAGCGCAGTCACCTCGGGCCCGAACACTGCGTCGCAAATCCCGCATGCGTACGCCAGCGCTTGCCGCGCGCCGTCAAACTTGCACTCGCCCACAAGCACCTGCGCCACACGCCGCAACGGCCGGCACAGCACAGGATGCCGCGGCCCATACACCCGCGCAAGCATCTGCAGTAGCAGCAGATAGCTCCGCCGCGCGCCGCTCAGCTGTCCCGCCGCCGCTTGCGCGCCCGCCAGCGCCTCGTAGTGCTCTGCCAGCGCGCACACCGCTGCAAATACAGCCTTTCGCTCGCTCCCGCGCCGCACACCGCGTCGCGCGTCCTCCACAAGTCCATAGAGCACAGGCAGCGCCTTGCTTGGCGCACCCAGTCCGATGTGCGCACGCGCCACAAGCACCCCAGCCTCGGTCGAACCCGATGCCGCCAGCGGCGTCAGATACGGCAGCGCCTCGCCGTAGCACCCCAGCACCACCGCAAGCCGCCCCAGATTGAACGCCGTCGACGCCAGCCGCTCATCATCTGCCGGCAGGCTCTTCGCCTTGAGCGCGTGCGCCCGTGAGTACATCGCCAGCACCCGCGCCTCTGCCCCGCTCACCTGACTCATCCGCCGCGCAGGCGCTAGTAGCCCGCCGCCTCCACCTGCTACGTCCACCAGCGACCGCTCCACAAGCACCGCCATGTTGTTCAGCACCATCGCACGCGCTGCCTTGTCCATCACCAACCCGCCGTCAAGCAGCTTGAGTGTTCGCTGGAAGAGCGCCAGCGCCTTGTCCGGCTCGCTGCTCGAGTGAGCCAGCGCTAGGTTATTGAGGACGTTGACCAGCGCCTCAGCACGCATACCATCCGCTTCCCGCAGCGCAACCGCCGCCGAGTACGCCTCCACAGCTCCTGCCTCGTCACCCAACGCCATCAACACATTGCCCAGATTGTTCTGCACATCTACATACAGCGGCACTGCCTGCGCCGTCGGCGGCGGGCCCGGCGCTCCAGGCAGCTGTGCAAGTAGCCACTCGTACGTGACCCGAGCCACTTGAAGCCCGCCACCGTCCATCCGAGACACCACATCTGCGTACTGCTGCCATGCATAGAGATGTGCCAGATCACCAGTTCCCCACACCAGGCCCGCCAGATGAAGCCCAGCCCGGAACGCCGACACCGCCTGCGCCTCCTCGCCTGACGCTGCGGCAAGCTCTGCCACATTGAGATGGACCCGCACCATGGCCCGCACCACCTTGACCGCTCGCCCTGGCACCGTCGCGTCCACAGCCACTTGCAGCTGCGGGATCAAGAACCCGCCTCCGCTCACCTGCGCGCCATCAAGACCCCGCGCGCCAGCCTCGTCCGCCAGTCGCGCCAGCCGTGCAAGCTCGCTCGCATACACTGTGTCAAGCTCGGTCGAGGCATGAACAAGCGGGAGTACCTCCAGGTGCCGCGAGACCACCCCTACGCCTGCAAGCTGCTCCACGCTTAGCGGCGCCATCGTCTCGGGCGCAAGGTACGACGAGGTCACCTCGAATCGAACGCCTGTCGTCGCACACGCCATCTTGAACACCAGCTCACGATCAACCGCTCCGCGTAGCCATGCGCACCGCGGACAGGCCGTCAGCGTCGACGCCACAGGCACAGCCGCAGCCTTGGGCACGGCTCCGTCATGGACGTCCGGAAAGCCCACAAACCGCTTCTCAATGCCGCGAAACAGCGCGCCACACCAAAAGCCGCCCAGCGGACACCGCCGCCCAGGCTTGGCCAGACGGGTCTTGCCCATCGAGGCCACAATGCCAAATGGATCCGTCACCTGCCACGCGAGCAGCGCGTTGAAATGCTGTACCACAAGCGTCTTGCGCGAGATCCGGTTGCGCCGCTTGCGCAGCGTCCGCCGCAACGACGCAGACAACTGCGCCCCAAACGTGTGCGCCACCATGTACGTCGTCAACCACTCGCGCAAGTGTGCAGCCACGCCGTCGGAAGCTGCAGGCACGTGCGATCGCAACGCGCCGAGGTGCCGGGTCGAGAGCCCGCGCGACGCAAAAAAGCCGAGACTTGAACTGGCGAGCGCCGTTGCCGACAGTGCGTGCTCCGACTCGGCCGCCAGGAGCTCCCTAGCCAGCACGGGAATGGTGTGCGTGTAGAGTGCCGCCGTGGCATGAGCCACCTCGGTGTTGTGCAGATGGTGATTGTGGCGGCCCATCCGCGAGAACGCGTCCGACGACAGCGGCGTCGGCGCCGCCGCCACAGCCTCGGGCCGCAGCAGTCGGTACAAGATGGTGCCCTTGGGCGCGTCACTCGCCGGTGCTTCGGGCGGAAACAAACGGGCCATGTCGACCACATAGAACCGTCCATCGTGCCCGAGATGGCCTTCCATGTCGGCTGGACCGTGAAACACAAAGGCGTCGCTCCGCCGCGAGCCGGCCGCCACACTCCGCGAGCCGCTCACCACGTGGCCCTTGAGGTTAAGCGCCGAGCCTGCAAGCTGCATCATCGCATCCATATCGTGGTTCGACTTGACAAGCGTCGCTCCGCCGTCAGCAGACCCGTACACCAGTGTGCTGGCATCGATCGGGAGCAGCGATGCGACCGACACCGTGTGCCCGCAGTACGAAATGACTGCCGTGAGCGGAAAGTGTAGGCCCGGAATGTTGGCCTTGAGCAGTGCCGCAAGCGCATCCATTTCGTGGTGCGCCGCGTGTGCCGCGTTCTCATCCCCGCCGTACGCTCCGGTCACGTCGCGAGCGAGCTTGAAGAACAGGCCATCGCGAATGTACTTGTCGCCACCGGCCATTCCGCCCACGCTCTGCGTCACCGGCTTGATAGTCTTGTCCGGGAACGGAATGTGGAGCTCGTTGACAATGGTCTTGACGACCGGCGTCGCCGCTGCCACCAGCTCCTGCGACAGCTGCGCGATGGCCTGCGCCTTGACCTCGGCCTGCGCAGGCGTGAGTGCTGGCAGGTGAACCACTTCCTGAAACCGCTCGTTCCAGGTGTAATCGCGGGCAGGCGCTGGAGTGGTATCCGGATCTAAAGCTCGCGCCGGCGGCTCAGTAGCGCCGAGCCGAAAGCCGAGCGTCCGCGACGCCCGCGGCTTCTTGCTTGCGTTTGCGCCCGCGCCCGCTCCCGTCTTGGCTATTGACGGCGAACTGCCGAGCCGCCGCCGCCCCGGTGACTTGCGCTTCGGCAAGAGGCCGTCCGATGGCTCGGCCAATGGGCCTGAGAGGCACTCGTCGTAGCCTGAGAACGAAAACGACCGGTTCGCGTCCTCGGGCGAGGTCGGCGTCGATGGCCCCGACGCTGTCGACGGTGAGAGCGAGCCCGATGGCCCTGTAATGACCGCTGGTGGCGGGCCGGGCGCGGCGTCGGCTTGACCGGCAGCGAAAGTGCCGGTGGTGGAGCTGAGGCGCCGGTAGACTCTGGCGTTGCACCGGCGACAGCCTGCGGCTTGAGTTTGACCTTGAGTAGGGCAAGGGCCGAGGGGCGGACAAAGACCCCGTGTTGTGGCTTGCAGGTGAAGAACCGGGTGCCTTTGACTGAGCCATCGTTCTTGCCGGCGGCGACGTCGAGCGCAACGCCAACAAAGACGTCGCTGACCTCCTTTTGACTGCGGCTGGCAGTGGCAGGGCGGGAGGTGTGGGCCGGGCGGTCGATTCGGCCGATGTAAGCGACTGTGCCCGGCACACTACGATCGCGGAGTGTGACGCGGGTGCCAACGCTGAGCTTGGCGAGCATGTCGCGATCGCGGTACGCGCGCGAGCGGTCGAGCTCGGACCGCGAGCGGCGCGAAAAGTGAGTCGAAGTCGCGGTTGTTGCCGGCACGCTTGTCGACGACCGCGGCGCCGAGACTGCTGGGGCAGTCGACGGACGCGGTGGCGATGCAACAGACGCGCTTACGTGCGGGCGGAGAATGACCTTGACCCGCGACGGCCGCACAAAGAGCGCGTGCTTGTATCGGGCCTGAAAGTACCGCACGCCATCTCGGAGACCGTCGTGCTTGCCGACAGGCTCCTCCATCTCGAGGCCGACCCAAAGGCCCGGCGCAAACTTGGTCTCACCCACAAAACGAATGACGCCAAAGTGACCCGTGTTGGAGACCCGGACAACCGAGTCAAGAACTAGGCTCGATGCAACCGCAGCCTTGCTTCGCTGGCGGCGATCCTGGGCCTCCTTGGAGTTGAGCTGCGCCAGAATCGAGCGCTTCCGCTGGCGCTCGCTTCCATCAGGCTCGTCAGCACTCGAGCTGCTCTCGCCACCAGGAACAGGCGATGGAGCGGCCGGTGAGGTGGGCGGAGGCGTGGGCGACGGCACAAAGGTCCTTGGTGACGGCTCGTCCGCAAGCATCTCGTCCGAGTCCCCGTCCCTCGCAAAGCCCTTGCGCATGGCTGGTGGTGGCGTTCGCAGCAAGCCGTCCGAGGCTGCAAAAGGGCGGGAAGCTGGCTGAGCTTGGGGCCGTCGGCTGGCGTCGTTCGTCCCAGGCACCGAGTCGTGGCCATCTTGATCAAGACCTTTGTCATGATTGTTGTCGTGATCATGATGATGATCTTGGTCAGCCTCATGGCCATGCTTGCTCATCATCATATCATCACTCTTCGACATGATCGAAGCCGCAGCAAGGTCAGAGGTGGGCGTCACAGGTCTTGGGCTCGCAATGGGCGAGTATGGCCTTGACGCCATTGAAACTCGGTGAGTATATAGAAAAGATGTATTCGGTGTGGTTTGTCTGGGTGGGGGTTGCACGTGGGGGTGGAGTGGCCGTAGCTGATGCTTGGAGGTGATGGGTGCGGGTGGGGCGGGAAGCACGCCTTGGCGCTGCGCGCCAAGTTTGGATTCAGACTCGCCATGATGGCCAGGTGCGTGATGGGGATAGGAGACTAAGTATGCGCAGGCTGCCTGATCATCACCATCATCATCATCAGCAGCAGCAGCAGCAGCAGCAGCAGCAGCATGGTCTTCATCGTCATCATGGTCTTCATCGTCATCATCATCGTCGGGAATCGGGAGCCAGGTTCTGCCCAGATTATGACCGCTCCGACATCACTGCGACTCGGAGCGCTCAGAGGGGGTCAGATTCTTGTTCAATGTGGATGATACCGCTTTCGTGATGATATCAACATCTTATCGTGAGCCCGCGACGACGACCAGGTCCAGGGCAGTTCCATCTGCAGATCGAACTCAAGCGTGCCGGGGGGAAGGACAAGCGCAATCGCCATCAGAGCATTATCTTCATCCGAGCATCATGTCTGATGTCCATGTTATGGTGCTGACTTTGCTCCACACGACGCAGATCAACGAGAGCGTGAGCGAGTGTATGTGTGTGTGTGTGCGCGCGCGCGATCGAGCCAGCCAGCCCGCCAATCACCAGGCATCACTCTCTCCAATCGACTCATACGTAGGCCATACAGTAAGAGGACCGTATAACCACATTGACAGAGGCCTTTTTTCATGGCTATAAGCCATCGGTCTTGGCTAGATAGATAGTTGGTTTAGCTGGGGGAGGATTCATGAAGAAACACGTGAAATAGAAAATTCGGGCAAAACCGCTTACCTCGGCGACCATTGCGAGGGACAGGCGAGAGTTGCGCGGAGGTTGAGCGAGGGGGAGGGGGGGGGGGGGGGAGGGGGAGGTAGAGGGTATTTCACTCTGAACAGAAGAGTACCTCAGAATGGTGTCTGGAAGTGGAAGAGGATATGTGAATGTGATGCGTGTGGCCGTGCTGGTTGTAGCCGTGGTGGCTGCCTTTGCTGTGGTGCTGGCGTCTGCGGAGAGCAAGACGACGAGTCAGTCGGAGAGCAAGGTGTCGGACAATGGTGATGATCATCATTATGATTTGGAAGATGAGGCTCCACGTGGTGTTCGGAGTGATATCATGTGGGGTCCGTTGCAGCACTCGGAGATGCTGGCCAGTAGCCTCAAGGCGCTGACGGCAGAGAAGGAGACCCCGACTGTGGAGCTGCTCGAGGACTTTATGACTTGGCTTCGTCCCTCGGGCGTCAGTCGGAGCAAGTGGCGGCTGGTTCTGAGCCTCTGTCCCAGTTGCCCGTCCAAGGTGGCTGTCCAAGCCTCGCGGCCGAAGGATGGCGCCTCTAACGGCGGAGAGAGCTCATCGATGAGCGAGATCACGGCGGTCATTCCGGCGTCCAAGATCATGTCGCACAAGTCGGCGCTGCGGTCGGCACTGGGCAAGTTTCTCTCGACAGATGCGGCGCGTTCGATTGACTCGCGGACGGCGCTCATTCTGCATCTGGTGTTTGAGACGTTTCTGGCCGGGCCGTCGTCCGAGTTTGCGCCGTACATCCAGCTGCTCCCGCGGCAGCTCGACACGACGCTGTTCTGGACCGACGAGGAGCTGGCGGCACTGGCCGGAACGCGCATTGCCAAGTTCCACGAGATGGATCTGGCCGATGTGAAGAGGCTGTACACCACGGTGGTCAAGCCGCTGACCCAGGTCGAGCCGCACCTCTTCCCGCCGCACGTATTCACCAAGCGCAACGTGGCGTGGGCGTGGGCGACGGTATGGGCGCGGTCGGTCAAGCTCCATCTTGACACCGACAAGGACGGCAAGAACCGCGGCAAGGAGGTGGCCATTGTTCCGCTTCTTGACCTCATCTCGCACAACTACACTGGCCAGGCATACACGACCGTGGTCAACGGACGGGTCCGCATCATGTCGTCGGTCCCGACCGCCGCCGGTGATGTCCTGCAGAAGCCGGCCGGCATGGCGTCGAACACCGACATGCTCTATCGCCACAACGTGGTCTTTGTCAACCATCCTTCACCGAGGGTCACCGTCGACGTCGAGCTTGCCGAGTCGGACCCTCGGTTTGTGGAGCGGAGCGTGGTGCTCAAGAACGCGCGCTTCCGCGCCAAGGATGCCATCGAGCTTGATCTCCAGGACGAGATCCATCCTGACCTCATCGCCTTTTTCCGCATCGCCAAGCTCCCCTCGACGCTCCTCACTGCCTACAACGACGCGCCGAGCGTGGCCAACAGCATTTCGTTCTACGACCCGCTGGACGCCGTCACCGAGCTCCGGGCCCACAAGGCTGCCGCCAAGCTCCTTGCCGGCCTCCTCGCCAGGTTCCCCACCACCCTGGCTGACGACGAGGCCATGTCTGACGATGACGTCGCCGCTCTCTCCATCCGGCTCCGCATGGCCCGTATCGTCGCCATGGGCGAGAAGCGAGTCCTCTCCCACAACCTCCGCATGATCTCGGACCACATCGTTGAGCTCAAGGCTCAAGTCGAAGCCGCCAAGGCCGCCAAGGCCGCCAAGGCTGCCAAGGACGACTTGTAGAGAAGACCATCAACACCCAGAAACAGCCGATCTTGGTCCTTTTTTTTAAATCCCTCTACACACACTGTGCATGTTCTCCTCATCATCCCTCTCACCATTCGCTCCCGACCACCAGCAATTTGAAGATGCCAGTGAGTGCCAGTAGCGAGTGAGTTGGCGCCAACCACGGCGCCACCGACCTAAGGGCAGGGCAAGGACAAGGCCACCCACTTCACCACCACCACCACCACCACCACCACCACCACCACCACCACCACCACCACCACCACCACCACCACCATGTTTGCTCTGCGGACGGTACCACCGGGGTGTGCACCACCCACCGAGGCATGGTCCGTCCTCTACCGCCATGCCCAGGACCCCACCCTGCCACTCGGTACGTGACAAGGGAGGAGGGGGAAGGGGGGAGGGGGGGGGAAGGGGGGGAAGGGGGGGGGGAGGAAGGGAGGGAGTCTGGAATGGCCTGGGATGGCTGGGCTGGGCGAGGCTGGTCGAACATGGGTTGATCTGAGGCTGGTCGAACATGGGTTGATCTGAGGCTGGTCGTGGCTGGGCTGGGTGAGACTGAGCTGATCCGGACATCAACTGGTCGGCTCGTAGCTGCACTGCGGTGACCTCGGCTGAGCTGATCCAGACATCAACTGGTCGGCTCGTAGCTGCACTGCGGTGACCTCGGCTGAGCTGATCCGGACATCAACTGGTCGGCTCGTAGCTGCACTGCGGTGACCTCGGCTGAGCTGATCCGGACATCAACTGGTCGGATCGTAGCTGCACTGCGGTGACCTCGGCTGAGCTGATCCGGACATCAACTGGTCGGCTTGTGGCTGCACTGCGCTGTGCTAGGCTGAGCTGAGCTAGCTAGGACATAGACTGGTCTGCGCTTGGGGCACAGATCGGCCGTAGACTCCACATTCACTCACATACGTATGGCACACAGAGATGGCCCTGGAGGCGGCTGGGACTGTCGGGACAGGCGCTGAGGCCGAGGCGCTGTTCTCGGCGTACGCGCGCGCAATTGCAGATGAAGCCCTGCCGCCACAGCGAGCGCGAGACGTATGGAGCGGCTTGCTAGAAGTGCTAGAGGCCAAGCGCGGATGTGATGACGAGGCGGGCGTTGTTGTTGGGAGCGTTATCGAGGCCACTGGCAAGATCGTGGGCCTGTTTGAAGCCGTGGCAACGGCGCTCGACACGCTGGCCGCCGCGCTGGGCATCACGCCCGAGGCAGCTGAGTCGAGGCAAACCGCTGCGCTCGCGGGCCTCCAAGCTGCTCTTCAGGTTGCACTGCCACACACACTGTTTGAAGAAGTCATGGCGGTGGTGTACAAGGAGGCACTGCTCGTCTTTGGGCTCAGCGTGGTGTGCCGCGACGACGACGATGAGGAGTATGACGATGAGGACGACGACGCGGAGAATGACGATGAGGATGAGGCGGCCACAAGTGCAGGCTCGGCAGTTCTTGGCCTCGATAGTCTCACCCAGCTCATGCACCAGCTGTCGGTGCTGGGCCTTGCACAGGCGTCGGTGTCAGTGGTGACCCAGTTGCTGTACCGGGTTGTCGAGGCGCACATCCTCTCGCAGGCCAAGGGAGAGTTCGAAGAGGCGTGGCTCGATGAGCTCATTCGGTGGATGGAGGCTGATGTGGCCGTAGCCGTTGAGGCTGTTGTCAAGGGCTGCGGGAATGCCACGGTGGCGCATCTCCGTGAGCGGCTATGGTTTCATATGTATGAGGCCTTTGGAGAGCTCCGCATCCGCGAGCTCTTTGACATTATTGTAGACTTTCCCGACTCAGCGCCGGCAGTCGAGGACCTGCGGCGGGCACTGGCGCGGACATGGCAGCACGAGCGGCTGGTTGACGTGCTCTCTGCGGCGTTTGACAAGCGTCTGCTGCATCTTGGCGCCAACACGGTCGACATCTTGGGGCAGTACGTGTCGTCGATCAAAGTGCTGACTCGGCTGGACCCGTCGGGTGTCATGCTCGATTCGGTCTCGCACGGCATCCGCAACTATCTCAAGAACCGCGAGGACACCATCCGGTGCGTGGTCACCTCGCTCACCGACCCGTCACCAACCTCGCTCCTCGGCGGCGAATTGGTCTCCGCGTCGGGCCCGACCGGCAGCGGTGTCGGCGGCGGACGCGGCGGTGGCGCAGCAAATGAGGACTACGACAACTGGACGCCGGCACCGCTCGAGTCGGGCGCGTTGAGCGCGACGACTACGGCGCCCGCGGCGCGGACCGACATCTTGGCCATGCTGGTCAACATCTACGGCTCACAGGAGCTGTTTGTCTCCGAGTACAAGGTTCTGCTTGCCTCCAAGCTCCTCGCCATCACCGACTACAACACCGACGATCAGGTCCGCAACTCTGAGCTCCTCAAGCTGCGGTTCGGCGAGAGCTCGATGCAGCCGGCCGAGGTCATGCTCAAGGATCTCGCCGACTCGAAGCGGATCAACGCGTACGTCCACTCCCACGAGGGCGGCGGCGACAACGAGCTCGTGGTTTCAGGCACTGTCATCTCTCGCCTCTTCTGGCCGCCGCTCAAGGAAGTCAACTTCCAGCTCCCACCGGCCATGGCAGCGCAGATGGAGACGTACGCCAAGGCGTTCCACTCGCTCAAGACGCCGCGGACGCTGAGCTTCCTGCCCAACCTCGGCTCGGTCAGCTTGACGCTCGAGTTTGACGACACCGAGCTCGAGGTGACGGTCTCGCCGCTGCTGGCCACCATCATCTCGTACTTTGACGCCAAGACGGCTGCAGCCGTCGGTGGCGCCAGCATCGCCGTTGACGGCACCGTCACCTGGCCGGCACGGGCGCTGGCCAAGGTTGTCGGCATCGACGTCGCGCTCCTGCGCAAGCAGATGGTCTACTGGCTCGCCGCCTCGGTCGTTGTCGACGCTGGCGACGAGTGCTACGCCTCGGTCTCGGTCCTGGGCGACGCACCGAGCTCGTCGGCCGGCGGCGCCGGCGGCATGGACGCCGACTCGGGCGTCGCCTCGCTCGAGGACCAAAAGGCTGAGGAGATGCGGGTCTACCAGTCGTACGTCAACGGTATGCTCGGCAACCTCGGCGCACTGCCCGCCGAGCGCATCCACAACATGCTCAAGATGTTTGTGGCCAACTCGGGCTACACCGCTTCGCTCAACGAGCTCATCTCGTTCCTCAATACGCTCGTCCGCAAGGAGGAGCTCGCCTTTGCTGACGGCATGTACTCGCTGCCCAAGTAAGTTGCGGCTGTAAACTCCTCGCGGTTGTGGGAAGATAGCAACAGCAGTCTGATCCCCGGTTTACGCCTTGCTCCGCTCGCGAAGACACTTGGCGCAGCCACAGTCAAAGCCGTAGGCTGTGGCCAGATAGTGATCACGCTGCGAGATGGTCTCGTCCGGGTCACAGTAGGCGATGCACAGCTCGTCGCCCGGAGCAATGTCTGCGAGCGCCACAAGTGTGAGCTTGGCCGGCTTGCGAGCGTTTGCGCCAAACTGGACCTGGACATTCGGCTCGCAAGAGTGATTGATCTTGGAGGCGTGGCGGTAGAGGCCGACACCCAGGTCGCGCCAGCCGCCATCGGGCGCCGGGACCTCGATCTTGAACGAGTTGAGCTGGAACTTGCCCATGAGCACGTCGAACCACTTGGCGTCAAAGGCTGTAGCGTTGTCGCCTTCGGCGAGAACGGTCTTGGCCAGGCCCTTGTGGGCGGCGAGGAGCGCAGGATCATCGGCAAACGAGATGCCACGACCCATGAGCTCTCCGATCTGGGTGTTGAGGGTGGAGACCTCGTCCATGTCGCCGCGCTTGAGATGGGACATCAGCATCGAGACGTACCGTGCAGCAAGAAGCGTGTGACGTGAGTGCCGCAGCGTGCGATAAAGCGGCGGCGAGGCGTCCGGCGCAGCCTCATCGCGCTCATAAAGGCCCCAGGCCTCGCACTCGAGGCCGTGGTAGCCCGAGGCAGCCATGGCGTGACACGATCCCGAGCAGAAGATGGGCCGGTCGCACGAAGGGCAGCCAAACGAGGCCGCCGGCTCCAGATCGGCCAAGCAGTGTGTGCAGAGCGAGTTGAGAGCGCTCGGGTTGGGGACCCAGACAAAGGGCTCTTCCACCAGCAGCGTCGCACCAGCATCCCACGCCGAGCTCGCCGCCAGCAGACGGCCCTTGTCCTCAGCCACGCCATCGACCACTCCCGGCGGCAGCGGGACCATGTCCGACATCCATCGTCGCATCGCCACAGTGCCCATCGCGCCCATTGCGCCCATCGCCCCAGTCGGCCCAGTCGGCCCAGTCGGCCCAGTCGGCCCCATTATGGCTGCCGCCCGAGGCGATGACTCTGCTTGCGACTCACTCTCGCTGCCGCCAGCTGCTCCAGGCCGCGCGACCATAGCGAGACGTCCGCTAGCGAGGCGGCCGAGGCTCCCACGAGATATTCTGAGCATGAAGGGGGATGAGAGGGGTGCGGGTACGGGGGGGGGAGGAGGGGGGGGGAGAGGGGGGGATGAGAGCGGTGAGTTTAATCAATGGTCTCGTCCGAGTAATCGTAGACTCGTCGTAATCAATGGTCTCTTTGACATAATCGTTAACTCTCCCCACAATCAATGCTCGCGTCAGCGCAACCGTTCTCGCCCTCCTTGTCCCCAGGCTGTGGAAGGGCGGGAGAGGGAGAAGGCTACGTGCGCATCAGGCTCGGGCAGTTCAGGTCTGAGCTAAGCACGCCTGGGGGCGTCAGGCCCGGGCGCGCGGAATGTCATCAGCGCCGTGGGCGGCGGTGTCGGGCGGCGCGTCGAGGGCAGCGCGAGAGGCCATCTCGGCCTCGGCGGCCGCGAGAAGGCCTGCGAGGAAGATGTCAGCGGCGACGTTGAGCTGGGTGGCCGATGAGACGGCGACGAGGGCGGCGACCGGGAGCTTGCGCAGCGAGCGGCCCGAGAGGCCCTGGGCAGCATCGGCCACGTCGAGGAGGGCGAGCGAGACCGCCAGCGCGTCCGAGGCCTCAGCAGCCATCAGCTCGTCGTAGGCAAAGAAGAATGGACCGGCACCAGAGATGCAGCCTGTCGGCCCAGCGGTCGGCGCTTGGACAACGCCGGCTCGCATGAGATCGGTCACCGACGACGCGAGGATGCCGTAGCGCGCCGAGCGCGAAGGCAGGCCGATGAACTGCTTAATGTCCGCCCGGTCGACAAAGGCGAGGTCGATGGCCCCAGTGATGTTAGACGTCGTGAGAATGGCGACGTTCGGGTATGCCTTGATGAGGTCGATCTGGGTGAGCAGGGCGTTGACGACCCGGATCGAGTCAGACGGCTCAGTCCCGGCCAGCGCCGACGTCCGCGCCGCGGTCAGGGACTCGACCTCGTCGATGAGAACGACGACAAAGGTGTCCGAGTCGGCGACCAGCTCGCGAATCATGGAGAAGAGCCTGGTGACGAGCTTGCCCGACTCGGAGAACCACTTGGAGAAGAGCGAGTGCGCGTTGATCTCGATCAGCTGCCCGTGGGCGTACCGCGACGAGAGCCGGATGGCAAGCTTGTGGGCAAGCGCCTTGCACAGCGAGGTCTTGCCGGTTCCCGGCGGGCCATGCAGAAGCACCACCCGGTTAAAGGCCACCAAATTGGTGTCGACACCGGCGTCCGAGAGCTGCATCGCCACCTGGACGTACCGCACCAGATTTGCCTTGATGGCCGAGTCATAGACGAGCGACTCCCACACGCCATCAAACTCCACCGCTGGGAGAACCCAGTGCGAGGCCGAGGCAAACTCGCCAGCATCGTCCATCTCTTCAGCCACACCATCGTGGCTCAGCTTGTAGGCCACAATCTCCAACGGATAGACCTCGCCCGCGCCGATCCCTGGACGTGCGATCTTGACCATGACCTCGGGGTCAGCCCTTGCATCTGCTGGCGAGTATGCCACTTCGATGTCCAACCGCTTCACATTGGCTCTCATGTACGCCAGCAAGCCCTCGTTGGACTCGATAGCCATGGCCTTGTCCTCAGCCACCGCCACCGGTCGAATACTGGCTGCCACAGCTAGCTCGTATGGGGTGAAGAAGCCGAGAAAGGCTGCCACAGCCGCCTTGATGTCGTCGATGTACTCACTCACTTCGGGGAACAGCAGCGCCTCCACTATCTCCCACCCATACCCATACCAGCCATCCCCCCCCCCGGACCCCCCCCCGGACCCCCCCCCCGACCCACGCCCATACGTGTGTGAATGTGTGAGTCGTGCTCGCGCCAAAACTGCGACCTTCTTCGGCACCTTCCCCCCCCCTCCGCCACCCCACACTCCCCACACTCACCCACACATGCTCTCCATACGTACCCACGCCCATGCTCACACAGACAGACTCTCCTGCGGCCACACACATCGGGCTTGCAGACGATGACATGATGGTGAGTGGGGTGTGGGCGAGGGCGGGGTGGGCGGAGGGGGGGTGATCGATCATGGGGGTGATCGATCGTGGCGGTGATCATGATCATGACATTGACTCATGGTGGTGGTGATAACGCTGCGGTGGGGAAGGAGGGACATGTTTGGCCCATTTCGTGGTCGACATGCCTTTTATCAGTTCGATGATGACAGTGTGGAGATGGCAAGGGGAGAGGGATGCGATGGGATGCGATGGGTAACCCCACCCGCCTCTCCGCCGCCGTAACCCCAACATCAGAAATACACATACTTCCAACACATACCCAAAGCCATGTCGATCCCATCATCCATCGTTATGATCTGCGCACAATCCGTATGATCTGCGCACAATCCGTATGATCTGCGCACAATCCGTATGATCTGCACACAATCCGTATGATCTGCACACAATCCGTATGATCTGCGCACAATCCGTATGATCTGCGCACAATCCGTATGATCTGCACACAATCCGTATGATCTGCGCACAATCCGTATGATCTGCACACAATCCGTATGATCTGCGCACAATCCGTATGATCTGCGCACAATCCGTATGATCTGCACACAATCCGTATGATCTGCACACAATCCGTATGATCTGCGCACAATCCGTATGATCTGCGCACAATCCGTATGATCTGCGCACAATCCGTATGATCTGCACACAATCCGTATGATCTGCGCACAATCCGTATGATCTGCACACAATCCGTCCGTACCATACACAATTCAGAAAACACACATCCGCAGGCCCAAACCCTCTCAAACACCGCCACCCACATCCGCCACCCGCACTCACTGCCCATACACACACACACATACACACACATCACCACGCACACACACATCACCACACACCACATCTTCATACCCTCCCCTCCCCACCTCCATGACCGCTTCGGACCTGGAAGGCGTATGGGCGAGTCTCGCAGGACCGAGTCTTCGTGCTGCACAGGGCGAGACGCTACCGCTCGAGTCGACGGCGCTTGCTCTGACGGGTGCTGGGAGAAGAGATAGGCAAGTGGATCACGATGATGGCTGTGGAGATGGTGATGGCTGTGGGAATGGTGATGGTTGTAGGGATGGTGATGGTGGTCGAGCTGCTGCTGGGGCTGATCGAGCTGCTGCTGGGACTGATCGAGCTGCTGCTGGGACTGATCGAGCTGCTGCTGGGACTGATCGAGCTGCTGCTGGGACTGGCCAAACTGGTGCTGGTAGTAGCATGGACACTCGCATCCGGCTCCACAACTCGTCAAGGCGGTGGCTCATGGATCGCTGGCAGAGGCACGGGCGCTGATGGCAAAGGCAGAGACAGAGCAACTTGCGTTTGGGCCTCGCATCGGCAGATCGCTGCTTCATGCGGCGTTGGGAAGACCGAGTGTTGCCATGGCTGAGGCTGTGATGGAGACTGGCGCTCTTCCTTGCTTGACGACTCCAGGCGCTTTCTCGCCGCCGCTGCTGACAGTGGCGGCGCTCTCCGGATCGGTCCGCGCAACGCGCTGGGTTCTTGCGCTTGGCGCGGATGTCAACGGAGCTGATGGCCACGGAGTTACTGCTCTTCACGCTGCCGTGGCCGCCAGCTGTGTCTTTCCGGCTATGGTGCTCCTGGATGCAGGCGCAGACTGCGAAGTCCGCGATGAGCAGGGGCACACCCCGCTAATGCGTGCGGCGTACGAAGGGTCGTCCGCCATGGTGGCGCTCATGCTGCGCGCCGGAGCTCGGATCGATGTGCCGTGCAGAGCTGATGGGATGACTGCTCTGCACTGGGCAGCAGCCATGAAGCACGAGCGGCCGGCCGAGCTTCTGGTCTCGGCCCTCGCGACCTCGCCCGACGCCCTCGCTTCCGTCCTAGCCGCCCACTGCTCCGACGGCGAGACCCCGATTGGTTGGGCCCGTGCCGTCGGCGCGCCCAAGGTCGTCTCGCTCCTCGAGGCTGCCGAGCGCTTTGCCACGGCCGCAGGCGGCAAGATCACCCCGCTGCGCGAGCACGGAGGTTTTGTCGAGCAAGCCCTCGTCCCGCCGAGGCTCTCGGTCTCGAAGGTCGGTGTGAACGCGTGTGGCCGGCCACTGGCCACATCGTCAGAACGGGTTGTGAGCACCCTGGCGTGCGTGATGGTGGCAGCGTGTGCCGGCGTAGCTGCAGTCATGCACCCGCTCTTTGCGCTCTTCACCATCCTCGTCCTCGTCTCCTTTGGCTTCAAGGTCTTTACCGGCATTGTTCGGTACGCCAACAAGCACTCGTGGCTCGCGCTCAGCACGCCCGACGGCGACGGCGAGGTCTCCAATGCTCGCCTCACTGCACACTACATCGAGGCGCTACAGATCGGTATCTTTGCGGCGGCCAGCCTCCTCTCGGTCCCGGCCGTCGTCATGTACATCGTCCCGCCCGCGCTTGTCGCCGCCCCGCTCGAGCTCTGCCTCTTCTGGCTTCTCTCCTTTGCCACGCTGGGCATCTTTCTTTGGCTCCGCAACTCGCAGCCTGGGACGACGCCGCGGATAGTCCCCACCGCCGCCCAGGCTGAGGTCATGAGTGACATGCTCGCCGCAGGCACGAAACCCTCAAATCTCTGCCCGACCTGCCTCATCATCCGGCCACTGCGCTCAAAGCATTGCTCGACCTGCGGTGTCTGCGTTGAGCGATTCGACCACCATTGTCCCTGGCTCGGTGTTTGCGTCGGCAAGAACAACATGGGCGCCTTTGTCGCCTTTGTCGCTCTCTTTGCTCTCGCCGAGCTGCTCTTCCTCCACCTTGTCGCCTCTGTCACCCCGTACTCGCCGACCTCGCTCACCTCGCTCGTCGCCATGCTCAACACCGCTCCGCTCCTCTGCCTTGCAGTTGTCTGGAACACGCCGTTCCTCATCTGGATGGTTCATCTCACCTTCCAGATGCTGTACCAGACCTCACGCAACCTCACCACCAACGAGCGGCTCAACTCGGACCGCTACGAGATTTTCAAGGACGACGACGGTGGCTTCTTCAATCCGTTTGACCTGGGCCTCGTCGCCAACTTTGAGCAAGCACTTCTAGGCAAGCACCAAGACGCGCTGCTGGTGTAGGTCGACTCGTCCCGCTCCTCATACCGATGCACAAATGAACAAGCAAACGTACAACCCGCACCGACCACATCAGTTCCACAAAGAATTGAAGAAATATCCTCCTCACTAATGCATGCGGCATCCTCCTCTCCCTCTTTCTCGCCCCTCACCTCCCCCCCCTCACTCGACCTCCCCCACCTACACACACCCCCTTCATACACGCACCAACCCAACCCCCGCCATGCCATCGCACACTTGCCCCCATCATCCCCCGCACTCCTATGCTAAATCGAAGCATCGAAACGAAATGAAAATATTTAAACAGATCATGACGCGGCACATCCCAAACACACACGCACCCCCCGCCCCGCACACCCTCGCTCCATCTACACCATTCCACACCCAACCACATGGTCAGTCTCATCAATACTAGCCATCTACAATACCTCCTCCAACCTCCTGAGGCAGCACATTCAACCGCCATCGAACCATCCAAACGAACCAAAGCAAAGAAAGAAAGAAAAAAAAAAGCTATGACCGCCCAAAAAACCGACTTGAATGGACAAAACGACCAAAGCCACGCGTCCGCCTCCTGCTTCCTCCCTCACCGCCACTCCCCCCCGTCAGCCAACCTTGCAACAGCGAGAACAGTGGGGACCAGCAGACTCTACTCGAATTGAAGCGAGGGTACCAAGCAGCTGAAGCCGCTCTCTCTCTCTCTCTCTTATTTGACTCGTTCTCTCCGCACTCGAACCAACTCGCCATGTTCCGTGTCGGTGCTGCTGTCGGCGCCAAGGTTGCCTCATCATCGGCGACTTTGCCGTTGGCTTTGTCGTCAGCTTCTTTTTCTGGAACTGCAGCTGCGGCTTTTGTGATCAGCTCGATGACGCTTGGACGAAATGTTGTCAACCAGATCGGACTCAAGACGCCGCAAGCGCCTGTGCCACCTGCCAAGTCTGTTCTCACCGAGCCGCACACCGTCGATGCCGAGGCTATTCTCGCCAAGACCGCTGCCATGGACGCCGCCGAGTGGTCGGTCGATGAGATTGCAAAGACGCTCCGCGAGTCGCATCTGGTCACATGGGGCGCCACCGGTGCTGTTGATCCTATTCAGATTGCTCAGGGCGATGGCGTGTACTTTACCGATACCGCCGGCAAGCGGTATCTTGACTGGAACTCGGGCGCCATGTGCTCAAACCTCGGCCACACCGTGCCCGAGGAGGTCATCGAGGCTGTTGTGGAGCAGATGCGTGCTGCGCCGTACGCCTACCCGTGCCACACCACGGTGCCCATCAAGGCCAAGCTCGGACGCCTGATGCAGGAGCTCATGCCTGGCGACCTCAACCACTTCTTCTACACCTGCGGCGGCGCCGAGTCCAACGAGGCCGCCCTCCGCATGGCCAAGCTCTTTACCGGGCGGTCCAAGGTTATGGCGCGGTACCGCTCGTACCACGGCGGGTCTGCGGCGACGATGGCGCTGACGGGCGATCCGCGCCGGTGGACGGCCGAGCCGGCCATGGGCAACGTCATCCGTGTCTTTGATCCGGACCCCTACCACGTCTCGTTTGGCAAGACCGAGGAGGAGATTGTGGCCAACAACCTGACGCACCTCCGCGAGGTCATCCAGTACGAGGGCGGGCACAACATTATGGCCTTCTTCCTCGAGTCGGTGACCGGGACTAACGGCGTGCTCAAGCCGCCGGCAGGCTACCTCGAGGGCGTCCGCGCCATCTGCGACGAGCACGGCATTCTTATGGTGTGCGACGAGGTGATGGCCGGCTTTTGGCGGACCGGCGAGCCGTTTGGCTTTATGCACTCGGACCCCATGATTGTGCCCGACATTGTGACCATGGCCAAGGGCATCAACGGCGCCTTTGTCCCGCTCGGCGCCGTCGCCGTTCGCGACCACATTGCCGAGCACTTTATGGACCACCCGATCTCCATCGGCACGACGTACAACTCGCACCCCGTGGGCCTCGCCTCGGCCTACGCTGCCCTCAAGCACTCGCTCGCCACCGGCATTGGCGCCAACGCCAAGGCCATGGAGCCCGTCATGCAGAAGCACATGAACGAGCTCGCCGACAAGCATCCGGCCGTCCGCGCCGCCCGCTCCGTTGGCCTCTTTGGCATGGTTGACCTGCAAAAGAACTCAGCCGGCGAGCCGTTTGTCACCTACAACGGCCCGCCGTCGCCGGCCATTGCTGCCTTTAACAAGGAGCTCCGCGAGAACGGGCTTTTCACCCTCTTCCGCTGGTCGTCATTCATGTGCAACCCGCCGCTCATCATCAACGAGGAGCAGATTGCTGAGGCCTTTGACATCATCGACCGTTCGTTTGCGCCCATCGACGATGCCTTTGAGGGCTAAACACTGCTCACAGCAAAGAGGAGGCCGTAGGTGGGGGATCGATTTACACGAGGGAAGGGGACGACGTAGCGAGGTTCACAGGTGCGAGTGCAGCGTCTTCTGCAGGAGATAGACCGAGGAGGCGGCCCAGGCGCCGGCGACGGCCCAGTCCATGGCGGAGAAGCCGTCGTCGACATGCTCGGCGCAGATAGCCTCGACCTTGTCGAGGACAGCGACCATGCGGGTCTCGACCTCGTTGGAGGGCGAGCCGACAGCGTCGCGGAGCTGGCGGGTAAAGACAAGGTACCAGCGGCAGACGTCGGCAAACGAGTTGATGGACATAAAGATGCGAGCGGTCAGCCCCTTGCGCATCTTGACGTTCTTCTCCAGCACCTCTGGGTTGTTGTACAGGATGGCGACGGTGCCGAGAGCCATGACCTGCGGAATGGCCACAAAACGGAGGACCTCGGGAGTGACCAGGCCAGCCATGTACGAGAGGGTGTCCGGGGCGTGCTGAACGCAGAGCAGGACCATGTGGTTGAGGCAGCGCAGCGCCATGGTGCGGTGCTTGGGGTTGACCATGTCCTCCATCCGTGTCACGTACTGGTGCACAATGTCCTTGGGCCAGAAGACCCGACCCTCCCCAAGATCCTCCTGCATGTCGCGGGTGATGTTGGTCTTCTGCAACGCCTGTCCGCAGGCGTTGGAGAGGGCCTTCATGTCGGCGTAGCGCGGATCCTCGAGTCCCGAGGCAGCAAAGAGGCCCGAGAGACCAACACCGACCAGGCCAGCCACGTAGTAGCAGTACTCGTTGTACTCCTCCTCGGTCTCCACCTCTTTGTCCAGGTACTTTGCCATGCCCGCACCCATCTCCTTGCAGATCTCCACAATGACCTCTTGATACTCGGGCTTGAGCGAGGCGTGGACAGCGATGAGCCGATGGATGTTGTCGAGCAGCTCGACCTCTTCCGGCTTCTCACCGATGTTCGACAGGTCCAGCAGATCCGCCGAGCCGCCATGCTCAAAGAGATGATAAAAGGCATGAAGGAGCGGCACCTTGCGATCAGCAGGCACAGCCATATCATCCTCCACAGAATCAAGAGCACGGAGGACCAAGTAGAAGACAGCGATCTGTGACCAGAGCGAGGTGGAGAGTGCGTGTGTGTGGAAGTGAGAGAGAGAGCAACGGCGTGGGAGACAGACCACAAGACAAACAGAGAGATCAAGACAGAGAGACAGACCACGAGACAAAGAGAGAGGGACAGAGCGCAAGCGAGACACAGCACGAGAGACAGAACAGAGTGCAAGTGCGAGATCAAGAAAGAGAGACAGAGCGCAGGCAAGAGACAGCATGAGAGACAGAGACAGAGCGCAGGCAAGAGACAGCATGAGAGACAGAGACAGAGCGCAGGCAAGAGACAGCATGAGAGACAGAGCGAGCGCAGGCAAGAGACAGCATGAGAGACAGAGCGCGAGACGAAGAGAGAGAGAGAGAGAGAGTACAGACACACGCACATACACACATACACACACACACATACACACATCCACACATCCACACATACACACATACATACCCAATCATGTAAAGTTTTTCCCCCCTTCCCCCCCCCCCCCCCCCCCCCCTCCCCCCCTCCAAACGGCAATGTGCGGTGATTTTGGGCGATCCCCCCTCGTTCGTCCGAGAGGTGGACGGAGTGTGTGACGGGGAGATGTAGATGGTGGAGCATGATATGACATGGATTGGAATATGGGTATGTGTGTGGTGTAGAAGGAATAATCTCTACGTACAGGAAGCTGGAGCTCCGAGTGCATCTCCCTGATGACGCCCGCAAAGGAACGGGAGGTCTGGACAAGCTTGACATGCAACCACTCGAGGTCCGAGAGCGAGTCGGAGAGCGGCGGGAGGTCAGCTCCGTGCTTGGTGGTAAACTTGAACTTGAGAAGTGCCCAGATCTCAGACGGCCGGTTCCATGACTGCTTAAAGTGCTCCATTTTCTGTTGTATGGCCCCTTGGTTGCCACAGCTGTCAGCGACAAGTGTTGCCGTCTCGCCGCAGATTCCTCCCGTGTCTCTCCCCGACTGCTACCTTGGCTGAAACGCCAGTGGCGGCAAAAGAAACGGGTTGATGCGAGCAGGAAGGGGGGGAGAGAGGAGGGATGGGGATGGGGATGGGGATGGGGATGGGGATGGGGTTGGGGGGGGTTGGGGATGGAGATGAGGAACGGGATCGAGATCGGGATCGAGATCGAGATCGGGATCAGGATCAGGATCAGGATCAGAATCAGTATTAGGATTGCTGATGATGACCACAAATCGCAACCGCATGATGCGCTCCCTCTCTCTCTCTCTCTCTCTCTCCTCCCCCCCTCACAGCCATCCAGGAATTGAATTGGTACCATATCCCGTCCAAATCACACCCCGTGGTGATCATGACGAGGCCAAGTCGGCCGCATCGGCAGATCGGCTCAAATCGACGGAATCGACGGAATCGACGGAATCGACGGAATCGACGGAATCGACGGAATCGACGGAATCGACAGAATCGACGGAATCGACAGAATCGACGGAATCGACGGAAACGGACTGCCACCAGTCCCAGCGACAACAACCACAACCACAACCACAACCACAACCACACCTCACACCTCTCTCTCTCTCTCTGCGTGTCTCGTCAGAAGCACCGGCTATGGCACGGAGGCAGCTGAATGTGTGCGAGGCTGTGGAGAGTGCAGAGGCATGGCCCGAGGCTGTGGCCATGGACGGCCTGGTGGGTATGTTGGGGCTGGGCTGGGCTGGAGGAGAGGGGGGGAGGGGAAGGAGGAAGGGGAGGGGGAACTCATAGATGGAGATGGATTCGGGGAAATAGTGGCTGATGTCCATGGCCAGTGGTTCGGACCGTGTGAGGCTATGGAGCGAGTGATGCGGAGCTTGTTTGTTCAGCTGGCCAACGACAAAATCAAGTTCATTTCAGTCAATGCCGCTATGGTGGAGGAGCTGGAAGAGTACAAGGGATCATCGCAGCCTACCTTTTTGTTCTACAAGAACGGCTGTCTCTTTCATATCCTCCGAGGTGCTCGTGCGGGTGAGTTTGCGCGATTGGTCGAAAAGTACGCTCCTAGAGATGATGGCTCGGATGTCGTCCCCGAGCCGCTCAATCCAGAGCCTACGCCGCATCCGCATGAAAGCCATGGTGCCGATCCGCTGACCCTTGACTCGTCGGCCTCGACTTCTGCTCTTGCGGCAAAGACTGGGAAGGACGAGATTACTGTTGATCCTGAGGAGGATGCTGCTGCTCGTACCATTCAGCGCGCCTTTCTCGCCCGCAACCCGCGCCCAGCACCCGAGCCTGAAGCTGTTGCCGCACCTGCTGAGGCAGAGGTCCAGTCTGACGCTGCTGTCGTGCCGGCAGAGGCCGAGACAAAGGCTGCTGCCGCGGCCCCTGCCACGCCGGCCAAGGACGCCAGCGACGTGCAGGCCGCTGCCCGGGCCAAAATCATCGACTCCACACTCGTTCTCGGATTGGTGGCCAAGGATGTCGGCGGTTCGTCGTCGTCGGATGAGGGAACAAACGAGTTTGGCGACAGAGTCCGGGTCCACGACGTCCACCCCGGCTCACCGGCTGCCGCCGCTGGCATCCGCGCCGGCGACTACATCGTCGGCGTTGGCATCAAGAAGATGAAGTCCAAGAAGCACCTGGTCGTCACAGTCCGCAAGCGTGTCCCAGGCATCGTCGAGACCTTTACCCTTCGTCGCGATGGCGCCAAGCTCAAGGTTGACGTCATGTACGGCGCCAAGGAGTACTCGACCGCCGAGCTCGCCGAGCTGGCTTCAGCTGCCGGTGGCAAGGCCTGGTTCGACGACGTCGTTGCCCGTGCCCTTGTTGCGCCCACGCCCAAGAAGGACAAGGGTAAGAAGAAGAAGAAGAAGAAGAAGAAGAAAAAGAAGGGCAAGACCAAGGACGCTCACTCGCCATCAAGTTCGCGCTCGGGCTCCGAGTCCGACTCGGGGCTCATCACCGCATCCACCTCGGTCGCGGCTCAACACAACCCGTCCGAGTCTGATGCTCAGACCGCGCCCGAGCCTGCACCCAAGTCTGCGCCAGAGCCCGAGCTTGCTGGCGCTGATCAGGCTCCGGTTGCTTCGCAGAGTGCGGCTTCTGCGGCTTCTGCGGCTTCTCACGGCTCAGCCAGCGCCTCTGCGAGCGCCTCTGCCCATGGCTCTGAGGCTCCAGTTGCTTCGCAGAGTGCGGCTTCTGCGGCTGCTCACGGCTCTGCCAGCGGCTCAGCCAGCGGCTCTGCCAACAGCTCGGATGCTGGCTCTGATGCCGGCTCGGACGCCTCAGTCTCGCGCTCCCGCTCCCGCTCCCGCTCCGCCTCATCCTCAGGCTCAGCCTCAAACTCGGGCTCAAACTCGGGCTCAAACTCGGGCTCAAACTCGGGCTCAAACTCGGGCTCAAACTCGGGCTCAAACTCGGGCTCGCGGTCATCTCGCTCAAGCTCGTAAATCTTCGCTCCTTACTCTAGAACAGGCAACATGCCGCACATCTCGATGGCCGCGAGAACAGGCTCGACAGGCTCAAACAGCGATGACAGATGAACAAGCAGGTGCTCCCGCTCCAGATCAACCTCAGCAAAGGCCACAGAACTCAGTCCGCGCACCGCCTTCAGCACTGCCGTCGCATCAAAGCTATCGACCATACCACGGGCAAAGATCGAGAGCGCGGTCGGCGGATGCGGCGGGCGCGGCGCAAGCGTCGGGGACGAGTCAAATCGCGCAAGTTTGGCCATGACCTTGCCAATGGCAAACATCCACTCGCCAAGCTCGGCTTCGTTCTCGGCCACAATATGAAAGGTGCGCGAGTTGTGAGCGGTGGTCAGCTCCATCCCGGCCTCATCCTTGGCCTTGGATCGCAAGAGCGTAGCACCCAGCAGCGGCACGTCGCCTTGTGGATGGACATCGTTCCGCTTTTTGTAGTAGAAGAGAAAGGCATTGGCAAGGACAAACCATCGCTTCTTGAACGAGGTAAACTTGGACTTGCCCTTCTTGTGGAGAAAGCCCGACTTTGAAGCCAAATACATAGCATCATCGCCACCCAGCGGGACAGCCTCATCGCCATCGTCCGGCCTTAGATCATGTTCCTGGAACTGATACAGCTCTGTTCCGTCCACAAACGAACCCCCACCACCGACGTGGAAGAAGATGCCCGCGTCTGCAAGGCACTGACCCAGCCGCACGGCCTCGTCGCGGTCATCGGCTAGCGCCTCCTCCACCAGAAAGGTCACAGCTTCAGAGCCAACAAAGGCTTGCGGGAAGCACTCCTTCTTGATGTACCGATCCTGCACACGCACTCCTTGACGGAAGTTGCGCGCAAGCGCCGTCAACTCCTTCAGCTTCAACACAGGCCGCCCGTCTCCCTCTCCACCTTCCGCTGCTCCTGCTCCTGCTCTCGCTCCTGCTCCTGCTCTGTTACCGGTAGCAGCCATGTTTTTCCTCCCCTCCTCGCTCAGTAACACCCTCTCTCTTTCCTTAGAGAGAAGTGCTTGCTCTTGCTTGTACTCTTCCCCTTGCCTATACCAGGTCACCTCTGCCCGGCTCCTCACCCCCTCTTGTCATGATCGTCCTTGTTTCGGACGCATGCAAACTTGACGACCTTTTGTTGATCATGGCAAAACCAAGTCAAGGTGAAATAGCAAGATGGTGTGAGGATGATAGACATGTGCATCTTTGTTTCCCGTTACCATACACACCGACCTTGCGGTGTTTACTATGTTGTATGTGTATGCAGATGGTCGCCCTTGCCCTTCACGTTGTGTTGCTTTCCCCTTCTCCATCCTTCTCCCATCACCAACCGGTTGATCGATCACCACAGTTGGTTGGGTGCGATCGTGATCAACGAGGACGACCACCTGCCCGCAGTCAGCTTCCCTTCCCTCCCCCACGTAGTCATAATCTCTTACCGACAACACCTCACTCCGCCTCCTTGCCCCTGCATATAAGAAGGCTACCACACTCTCTGCTTCGCCCTCAGACTACCTCTATCTCTCGCCATCCTCCCCAACTCGCCCCCCTTCCCCCTCCCTCCGTCCTCACCTCCTTGGCGCCAAACATGTCGCAGTCGGACAGAGATGGCGGTGCGGTTGGTGTGACTGATGACGAGAGTGCTGACGGATGGGTCGTCGTCACCGCATCGCCGACAACAGACGCTGGTCTCGCGACAGACCGTGATCATGGTCCTTCAGATAGCGCAGAGCACCATGGAGGCAATGGCGACAATCATGGTGATGACCCCGACGTCGATGATCCTTATCATCATGATGACCATCTCGACTCGTTCTCTCTCGATGCGTCGGATGACGGCTCGCATGAGTGGTCAGCTCGGTCAACAGATGTATCTGCTACCAGCGGCTTGGTGGGACGGTCGGAGCGGCCGGCGTCATCGTCGTCGACAGTGTCGCAGACAGAGCGGCGGCCCGACGCAAAGCTCGCAGCGCGGTTGGCCGAGCTGGGAGATGTGGCGGATCATCCGCCATCGCTGGCGGCGCTGGATACTCCACATGGCTATGCAGTTCTGCGCGAGCGACTGCGGTTGACTATCAGGGGCTACGGCGCGAGCTCGGATCATGCTACCCGTGCTGCTCATCATCTCATCGAGTACACCACAGCAGCGGCGGCGGCGTTGCTGCTTGATGCGGCAGCGAGTCCTGCTAACGATGCCAAGGGCCTGCTGCCGAGCTTGGCCGACGCGCGCAAGTTTGGCTCGGCATCAGTCATGGTTCCGCCGTCGGCCGGTGCGGTGGAACGGACAGCGTCGGTGCTACTGGCTGCGGCCGAAGCAGCGCTGGCCAAGTTTGGCGAGGCGCGGCTGGAAGCTGCGTGGCTCAACAACGCTGCGCTCCTGCAGCGGCGGATCAAGCGGCCACGGACGGCGTTGCGGCTGCTTGCAGCCGCGCTGCGGCTCGAGTCTGAGGCCGGCGACGAGCTTGCGGTGGCGCAAACGCTGCTCAACATGAGCGCGTGCCACTCCAAGCTCGACGCACACGAAGATGCGCTGCAGGCAGGGATAGAGGCCAAGTCGTTGCTTGCACCATACATTCGCGAGTTTTTCTCGCGGTTTACGGCTGTGGCCTCGGGCGAAGAGGCGGAGTCGCACATTGTGCAGGTGCCCGGCGACGCCGCCATGCTCCGCACCATCCTTGGCGTTTTTAACAACATTGCAGTCGAGCACGACCATCTCCGCCACCACGCCGACGCCGCCAAAGCGTACTCAATTGGTGCCGAGATTGCAGCGCGAACGCCCGGTGTGGAGTCGGTTGCTCAGCGCTTGCGCTCGCTCGCTGCCCGCTCGCAGGCTGCGGCCGCCGAGGTCGAGCGACGGGTCGGCCGCAAGCTGCAGACCCGGCGCGCCGGTTTGCCTGCCGAGGCGCGTCGGCGCGAGCGCCGCAAGCACCGGACAAAGACCCAAGCCGGGCCCAAGGGCGACCGGTTGCAGATGGCGTACGGCGCATCGGCGGCCGATCGCGCCGCGGCCGCCCGCCGCCTTCAGCGCGCCCGCGACGCCGCCACTGTGGCCGAAGCCGCCGGTGCGTCGACGCGCCTCGGCGCTGCCCGCGAGACTGCATCGTCCGGAGGCTTCGCCGAGCCGGCCAACTTTGACGTCCTTGAGCTGCCACCGCTTACTGCGGCTGCGCTCGGTCTGAGCCAGGACGAGTTTGACCGACTGATGGCGACCAAGGCGAAGGCTGTTGAGCTAGATGCCGACGAGTCGGAGTCGAGGTCAGTGGGGAGCGGCCGGGTCTTTGGCTCACGGCTCACGTCCAACTACTCGATGGCGTCGGTCAAGCCGTGGCTCCAGCCGGCGGATCCGACCATGCCGACCCGTGACCCAATCCAGCTACGCAGGACTGCGTCGTCGGCATCGGCCGCAAGGCTGGCTGCCTTCGAGTCGACTGACAACGTGGCCCACAGCCAGCCTCGCACCCGCACCCGCCGCCGTCGAGCTGTGCAACCTCCGCCAAAGAGCAGGAGTGGCAGCAGTGGACACGGAAGCGTCGACGGCAGTGAGTGTGGGAGCAGAAGCAAGAGTATGAGCAGGAGCGAGGCTGACGCTGAGGCCGAGCCCGAGGCTGGAGCTCACAGCGGATCCGGATCCGGCACCTATGCTCTCGGCAACCTCTCTGCCGAGCTGGAAGATCTTGGAGACCTGTCGAGCATGTCGAGCATGTCCAACATGTCCGGCAGTGGCGGTGGGGGCGGAGACGACGTGGATCTTGAGTTTGATAGTGATAGTGACGGCTCTGGCCGCGACGAGGAGTTGGAGCGTGACGTCGACGCCTTTCTCGCCTCGCAAACGCAGAACTCGCTGCTGGGCGCCGATGGTGGTGACGAGACCGGGCTGGTGACCTCGTTTTGTTCGGATGACTTTGACCTCGACTCTGCCGACTTTGATCTGTCAGCTACATCACCGTAAGACAAACTGTATACGTGTGTGTGTGTGTGTGTGTGTGTCGTTAGATGGGCTTGGCGACGGTGGCGAGGCCGACAGCGGCCACGTAGCTGTCCTTGTCGAGAACCTTGAGGGTGTAGCGCGAGTCGCTCGAGCCCGTGCTCAGCAGCAGCGTCATCTGGTCGTCGGCAAGAAGCGGCGAGACGAGGCGATAGTCAAAGGCGATGACGTCCTCCAGAGGAAGATGGCCACGGAGGAGCGAGAGCATGGCTGAGGCGGTGAGCGGACCGTGGACGACAGGAGCGCGGAAGCCCTCCTTGGCGCAGTAGGGAGCGTCATAGTGGATGCGATGGCCGTTGTAGGTCAACGCTGAGTAGCGGAACAGGTCGACGGTTGACCACGAGAGGTCGAGGGAGACGAGGGCGTCGGCGATGAGGGCGTCGGCCTCCGGATTGGGCTCGCGGGCGTCCGGGAGAAGATACTCGACAGGCGGGCGGTACATGAAGCGGCGGCGATCGATGCGGACTGTGGACTCTGCATGCGGGCGGGAGACGTCGACGTAGGACGACTTGAGAGTGACAAAGACCATGTCAAAGGCCGAGCCGGCCTTGAAGGTCACGTCCTCGACCACGGTCCGCTCCTCGACGTGCATGCCCACGGCGAGAGGGGCAAAGGCCTCGACTGAGCCACCAGCAAACATACGGAGGTTAAAGGGGTGAGGCGGGGCATAGCTCCGCTCGTAGCCGTCGTCGTCGAGGGCGTCAGTTGGGAGACTGTTCTTGAAGTAGAGCCATTGAGCGTTGAGCGGGAGCTGGCGGCCAGCTCTGCCGTCGGCATGGTCGTCGGCGGCAGCAAAAATAGCAGCCTCGGGCGATGCCACCTTGGCTGCGATCTTGGAGTCCACAAGCGCAGTGTATGCCTCAAGCGGCCAGGGGGCGAGGATCTCGGGGCCGCGGACCACCGCGTCGTTGGCCATCATCTCCTTCCGCCATGACGCCACTGCTGCCGGCTCGTCGATCTTGCTTTCAGAGCTCATCGCCAGCCCCATCATCGGCTTGCCGCCCGTCATAGTACCTGCCATCGCACTTGTACTCGTTACCGCCAACCTTGTCGTCTGTCTCGCCAGCTGTCGTGCGCCGTGGAGCATCACGATGAGAGAGAGAGGTGATGGCGATGAACTAGCCAGTCGTCGACGGCGGATCTCGACCACTATCTGCCCAGTGTCGACGATCCCCGGAAGAATCGGCTCTGTGAGCCATGGCATAATTGATATGTCCATATGGTACGTCCATCGTATGCACGCCAAGCGCGCAATTTGTCCACTTCTTGCAGAAAAATACCATACGCCCATGACAAGTGATACGTCAGTAGCCCTCCCGTTGTACCCACGCACACATCACAAATGCTACTATCATGCCACACGTCCTCCGCTCCATCATCGCCTTCTCCTTACCACCCACCCTCCCTGCCCAGCCGAGGTCAAGATGCTTAGAGGGGAAATAATTCCAAATGGGCCCCTCCCTCCCTCCTCCCCAAAAAATGCACGCTTCCGCTCCCGCACGCGCTAAACGACCATTGGCTGACTCACCGGCAGAGTTTGGCACGAGGCGTGGCGGGCGGGGAGGGGGGGGGGGGGGAAGGGGGAGGGGGGAGCGGTATACTTGACTTTTGTTTCCTGGACAAACCACACACAACAGCATCCACGTGGTCGGAACGTGTCTTGCTGAGGTTGTGGTGTGAAGAGGCGGCTGGCTGAGTGAGTGGCTGGTTGGTTGGCTCGTTTGGCTCGTTTGGCTCGTTGGCTCGTTTGGCTCTGTGTTGGCTGTGGCTTGTGGCGGGATCGTGCAATGTCGAATTTGCTTCAAGTGATGAACGAGTGGTTGGAGGGTGGTGTGGCGATGGGAGGCCAATTGGTGGTGGCCGTGGCATCGAATGACATTCTCCCGGCGGATGCTTATTTGCCGGACACATCAGCAAAGGCAGGGACGTGGTTTCTGTCGCCGGAACAGCATTTTGTGGAGCTCGTGGCTTTTTCTGCTGTCTACTTGGCTGTCGTGGCTTGGGGCTGCTCGCGGATCGGAAAGAAGGCTGTGGGTCCGCGTTTGAAGCCGGTGCATGGCGCTGTCCGTCTCGCTTGTGCTGGGACGGGCTTGCTCCTGTTTGCCATCCTGGTGCGGACGGTAGGGTGGAAGATGGCCAAGGGATCGCTGGCCTTTCTGCTCCAGCCGTGCCACATCTTCTCGCTCGTCCTTGTCATTGTGCTCATGGCGCCGCGATCGAGCCTTGGTGTGGTCTTGTTCAACATGCATCTGTTTGTTCAGTGGGCGCCGTGGATGGCCTTGCTCATGCCGGACCTGCGGACGTACACGCCGGGCTCGCTTGAGCTGTACTCGTTCTTTGTCCAGCACATCATCATTGCTGGCGCTCCGCTGGTTCTCATGGTCACCGGCATCATCCCTGTCCTGCCGCGGCGTGGGGCGTGGATGGCGTTTGGCTTTGGCTGGTGGGCCATGTACCAGGTCTGGGTCCTCGGCTTTGGCTCGCTGCTGACGGGCGTCAACCTCAACTACATGCTCGCTCCGCCGCCGGTCATCGAGTCGACATCCATCCGCGCTATCGCCGACCACGCCCTCTACTACCGGTGGTTTACTCAAGTGGCGACGTCCATCTTTGCCGCCGTCACAGGCATTGCTCTGCCAGCACTGCTCGCTCCGCGTCGTCGCTGGCGCAAGAGGTCGCGGCCGCACATGAAGGCGGCGTAGCCATTATCTTAACCCTTACACTACGGTCGTTCGGACGCGTTGTCGCGCGTCTCAAAGTGAACAACTCGATGATGCTTGACTTTCTGGTCACCGGCCGACGCTGTGCGACGCCTGCTTGGCCTGCGGCTTGAGGTGGGTGGCGCGCCCGATGCGAGGCTCACACGTGGGGCCTGCCGCCCGACGCTTGTTCTGGCGACGCCCTTGTGTGCAACGTGGGCAACGACATCGCTGCTGCTACGCGGAAGGACTCGATCGAGTGCCGTTTCCTGGCAACCTGCTCTCGTCCTCCAGACTCAACGACGTCGTCACCTCTGCAGCAGCTGCTCGTCATCACCACTTTCCACAGCGAGCCACTGTGCAACGCGACTGCCTCGCCTGCCGGAAGCTTTATGGCAAGCGATCGCGGCGTCCATCTCTGCATCGCCGACTGTTTTCTGTTGTGGCAGCCATTAACACATTGTTCTACCCTTTACCGCGATTGATGGACGTTGCGACGTCAGTGGAGCGCCGCGGAGCGCGGCTTGCGCGATGGACAACTTTGTCCATTCCGTACCGTAAAAGGGTTAAACCAATTCGTCATGTGATGAGGGTGCCGGCAAAGGTTGCAGCGTCGAGTGGGGCCACACCGACAGCGGCCAGGGCTGTCGGTCTGTCGTGCAGGGCGGTGATGGCGACGGGTGTGCCCGGCAGGGTGCGGGCTATGGCCAGCGCCGACTTGATCTTGGTGAGCAGGCCGCCGGTGACGTCGGGCGAGGTGTCGGGCGGTGCGGTGGTGAGCGCGGCCAGCTCGGCGTCGGAAGTGGTGGCGTCAACAATGGGGATGCGCGTGGCAGTGGCATTGTACTTGGGATCGGCGGTGTAAACGCCGGCAACGTCAGTGAAGAAGACAACGGTCTGCGGGGCGAGAGCGTCGGCGATCCACTCCATGACGACGTCGCCCGAGAGGACAGCAGGTGCGGCCAGGTCGATGACGTCGCCGTGGACTACCGGAACAAGGCCCGCTGCCAAGCACCTGCGCATGGCGGCAATGAGATCCGTCTGGTCCGGGGCCGCAAAGGGCGAGACTGAGACGGCCGGAATGCCGGCATCGACCAGAGCGCGAACAAGGAGCACATTGAGCAGCGTGACCGAAGCCCGGGTTGCCGCCACACCCGGCGCAGCCGCTCTCGGTCTCGGAGACGAGCCACCACCACCACCACCACGATCACGGTTGCGACTGCGGTTGCGGTCATCACGGGCGGTGGTGGATCTCAAGCCGGCGCGCTTTGCCGCGGGATGGCCGTACGAGCCGGCACCATGGACGACGACGAGGCCGCCTTTGGCGCGATGAACACGCCAGGCCTCTGCCAAGACAGCCACAGCGGCATGCATGGCCTCTGGATCCAGCTCCTCCTCAGCCACCGAGCCATCGACCTTGCTTGTCTTGGGCGCCAGCACGGCGCCTCCGATCTTGACCAGAGCGCCCAGACCAGCACCGGGACTGGCTCTAACCGCCCGTCGACTCGAGGCGCGTGACAATGCAGACAATGCGGCGTATGGCGCTGATGCTGCCGACGATGCCGACGATGAGGATGAAGACGATGAAGATGAAGACGATAAAGACAATGGCGATGACAATGGGTGACGACCGAGTTGCTTCCAGGCCACAGCAGCCGCAGCCGCAGCCACGCCGAGGGCAACCACAAGCATCCGAGACGCCTGCTGGATGCGGGTGGCCATGGTCGAGGAGGAGGGGGGGGGGGGGAGGGAGGAAGGGAGGGGGGAGCGAGGTGGTGGTGGTGGTGGTGGTGGTGGGGGGGGGGGGGGTGACCTGGTCTGCTGCTGCTCCCCTTGCTCCCGTCGGACGACGATCCGGACAGAGCACAGGCCTGGGACTGCATCGTGGGCATGATGTGTGATGTGACTGATCGGGGAGGGAGAGAGGTGAAGAGGGAGGGTATGTACGATATGTATGTGATGTGTGTGTGATGTGTGTGTGATGTGTGTGTGATGTGTGTGATGTGTGTGTGTGCGGATCATGAGCAAGGAGCCGATCTGCCTGCATCGTGGGCATGATGTGATGTGACTGATCAGGGAGAGAGAGAGAGAGGTACAGAGGGAGGGTATGTACGATAAGTACATATGTATGTGTGTCTGTGATGTGTCTGTCTCCCTCCCGCAGCATGATTCGTCCATCCCAAGTGGCATGTGTCACCAGCCACTGCCTGAGATTGGGGGAACAGGCATGAAGGGGAGACGGACGGTGTTGACAGAAGGCACCCTCTCCCCCCCCCCCCCCCCCCCCAGCACTAGGTGCGGTCTTCGAGCTAGGTCTCCTCAGAGAATGAAGCGGGCTGAGCTGGATTAGGTTGGGAACAAGGCGAGACACCAAATCTTCACTCCTGACTCTCCCGAGTCGGCTCACGTATTCAAGGCCTTTCTAATGACTTTTACTGCCTCATCCCGAGTCCGTTCCCTCCCCTCTTACATCTTGTATCAGGACTGCAATGACGACGGAGCGGCGCGTATCGGACCTTCGGCGTTGAAATCCAAGGCAACAACCCTGCTTTTGGTATCAACTTCTCAGACTTTGACGACGCGGCTTGTACGCCATCTCGTCCGACGTCATCGTCAACAAAAAAACCATCCACGCTCCCC